TTTTTTTTTTTTTTAAGAGACAAGGTCTTGCTGTGTTGCCCAGGCTGGAGTGCTGTGGTGTGATCATAGCTCTGTAACCTTGAATTCCTGGGCTTAAGTGATCCTCCTGCCTAAGCCTCCCCAGTAGCTAGGACTACAGATGCATGCCACCACGCCCAGCTAACTTTTAAATTTCTTTGTAGAGTTGGGGGGTCTCACTCTGTTGCCCAGGCTAGTCTCGAACTCATGGCCTCAAGTGATCCTCCTGCCTCGGCCTCCCAAAGTGCTGGGATTACAAGTGTGAGCCACCATGCCCGGCTTCTTCAGCATTTAAATAGATTTTTGTATCCATTGCCATTTTAAATTTTAAAAATTTAATGTATTTGGTGTAGCTTGATCTAGATTATTATGTAAAGAACTAGTTACAAATCTCATGAAAGTCTTTTGATTTCTGTTGAGCATGGTTTCTTACCCTTGGCACTATTGACATTTTGGGCAGATAATTCTTTGTTGAGTGGTTCCCCTATGCATTGTAGGATGGTTAGCAGCATCCTTGACCTCTACCACTAGATGCAGGTAGCACTGCCAACCCTTTACCTCCACCTCCCCACCCTCTTTCTCCTTGCCAATTATATCAACTAAAAACGTCTCCAGACTGCTAAATGTTGAGAACCATGTAGACAAAACTCTTTAGGAGAATATTTATGGCTATTTATTTAACTATATCAGAAGAACATTTGAGACTTAACTATGTAAGCTGTGTAGTATGATTTATCTAAAGGATGAATGGACAGTAAAAAAAAAAAAAATCTACTGGCTTTGAATGTTTTGTTTGTGAAAATTTTAAGTTTGTTTCCCCATTTTTGTATTTTTCTTTTACACTTTCTCCCTTTTGATTTAAAGAAAAAGGTAAAATTCCCTATCAGAAATGAATGTAGCCAGGCACGGTGGCTCATGCCCATAATTCAGCACTTTGGGAGGCAGAAAGATCATTTGAGGCCAGGAGTAGGAGTATGAGACCAGCCTGGGCAACATAGTGAGACACCATCTTGAAAATAAAAAATACTTTTAAAAAAACAAATGTAACAAGAATTTGAACAATTTTTTAAGAGTAGAGAAGTGTTTTTTTTCAAA